AGATCCACATTGGAGGTCTCGTTGGAGGTGCTTCCATCGCTGGCATAGCCTGCAGTGGCTTCGTTGTACATCTCACCCAAGCCAGAGTCCAGGTCTTCTCTGGACCATGCTTTGGTCAGGATGGATGTCTTCCCGATGGGATAAGACCTTTCTGTGTGAGCTTTTCTGGGAGTATAAACCTCCTCCTTCTCGGGTGTCTTGTATGAGGACACGCCATCAATCTTGTAAACGCTCTTGTCTGTCCTGCTCTGACTTGATGCACCGGCACTGCCGTAGCCTCTCGTACTCTTTGTGGCCAAATCAGGGCTGTACCACTCTTCTCTGGAGGCTTTTGTCACTGATTCTGGCCTTGGGGACATGGCCTGCTGCCCTGGGCTGAAAAATGAGCCCGGGCTGGTCTTCTCCAGCATCAGGAACTGCTGCCGAGCCGCAGAGAAGTTGATCTGCTCCGTGTCAATACTCTCAGGGTCAACGGGCGTTGCAGCCCTGCCTGGGGAAGGTTTGTCAAACCAGATGGCAAAGCTGGTGGGGACACTGCCTGTGTGCCTGCCTTCACCTTGGCTGCCCACGCCCGTGCTGATGGAGCCCAGCTCATCCATGGAGCTCCACCTCTCCGCAATGGTGGAGCTTTTCCTCATCACCTGGCTCCGGATGACCTCTTTCCTCTCATCTTCGAGCTCCCTGGCTTTCTCAGGTGTGATGTTGGGTGGAGGGACCCTGTACAGGTCTTGCTCCTCATCATCATAGAGTTTTGAGGGTTTCCTCTCACCCTTGTAAGCTCGGAGGTCATACAGGCTTCCTGATCTCACCACCTCTAGCTTGGACTCCCTGTCCGGGGACGGAGTCCAGACATCTCTTCCACCCTCCAGGAAATATGAGGGTGACTGGGACCTCCTCTTCCAGCTGTAGCCATTTTCCACCCTCTGGGTGCTGTGCTCAGCAGAGCCAAACACATCATCATCGCTGCTGGCCCTCAGGTCTGCCAGCGAGTCGTGCCTGTGCGAGGCCTGCGGGAGCTGGAACACAAGGTGCCTGGTGACTCTGTCCATCTCCTGGCAAGAGTCACTCCTGTGCCAACCTCGTCCCAGACAGGGGCCACTGCTCAGTTTTGAGGTCGCCCTCAGAGTCCCAGTTCAGCAGAGGCCAAGGGTCTTGACCTGGCTGGCCCTGCAAGCAGGAAGGGAGAGCAGCCATTAAGCACAGCAGGAGGAGCAGAGGTTGAGATGCAGCCCCTCTCCCAGCCTGGTACCACTGTCCTCGGCATGGGACAGAAGCCCATGGCAGCCTGCCCCATGTGGCACAGGAGCAGCCAGAGCACAAAGCACCATTCCCAACAGGAACTGCCACAGAGCCCAGAAATCCAGCCCACCTCTGTCGGAACTGCCACAGAGCCCAGAAATCCAGCCCACCTCTGTCCCGCAGCCTGGCCGGGCTCTGAGGGAGCACAACCAAACCTGCCCAGGCAGCCAGTGCTGCCTGCACCGCCAAGGGCAGCAGGACCTCAGCCACGAGCCCCTGGTGACACCACATCCAGCCGGGCACCGCTCCGGGCACGGGCAGCCAGACCTCAGCCACGAGCCCCTGGTGACACCACATCCAGCCGGGCATCGCTCCGGGCACGGGCAGCCAGACCTCAGCCATGAGCCCCTGGTGACACCACATCCAGCCGGGCACCGCTCCGGGCACGGGCAGCCAGACCTCAGCCATGAGCCCCTGGTGACACCACATCCAGCTGGGCACCGCTCCGGGCACGGGCAGCCAGACCTCAGCCATGAGCCCCTGGTGACACCACATCCAGCTGGGCACCGCTCCGGGCACGGGCAGCCTCGGCCTCTCCACGTGCACAGGGCAGGGAGAGGTGGTGCCAGTGCCCGCGCCACTCCTTCATGGAACATCTTCTTGTGCCATTTACAGAAAGGAGCCTCCAAACAGCCCAGCTCTAGAAACAGTGCAGTCATAAAAACAGTTTCATGGCTCATAAAACGAGGGGACTTTAACCCCCTGGCACACAGGGCAGGAGTGAACAGCTCCAACCTCGGGGGGAATCCTCCAGAGCCGACTGGAACAGCGATGCCAGACAGGGAGGGGCAGCACAGGTGGGTCCCTTGTGAGAAAGCAGCTGCCACCCCATGGCAGATGCCATCCCTGGCTCCGGAATGGTGACACACATGTCACCTGCAGACAAGCTGGAGCCAGCACCATGTCCTGTGCCACTGTTTGCCGAGATTTAGCCACGGCTTTGCCGTCACTGTCACTCCTGTGAGCCCTAGCAGGTCAGGGTGTGTCACTGCTGGGCACCACTCCCGGGCACTCGCGGCTTCCTGGGAATGTGCAGCAAAATTGGAGCAAGGCCACGGTGACAGCAGGGACAGCCCAGAGCCTGGGGCCACACTCGGGATGAGGCTGCCCAGGTGGAGGCAGGTGCCCGGTGTTCCCTGGAGCATCCTGGCTCATGCCCAGGGTGATGGGCACTCTGTGCCTGCCTCCTACCTGCAGCGATTCTGGTGACCCCCAGCCCTCCCGGGATGCACCATCCTCCCACAAAGCAAAAGTGGGGCTGGGCCAGGAGCTTTTTAAACCTTTCCTGGGGCAGGAGCACGTGGCTCTCATTAGCTGGGATGTCCTGGGCAGCCCCAGGCCATGCCTCACCGCTGGAACTGCTGCCCAGCCCTGTGCCCAGCCCTGGTGGCTCAGCCTCTCTTCCTGAAGCTGTGCCCAGCTGAAATTACCTTTTAATTCCCCTGCTGTGATTCACTCTTGCTCTTTTCTTGTCCCCAATGACGAGGATAATGAAAACCAGCTGCCCACGCCTCTTACCATGTTTGGGGAGGACGAAATCCCGGCTCGAGGGGGACCCCGTCACCGGGGAGCTCTGGCAGGCGGCACAGGAGGGGACAGGGACACAGAAAGCAGCTGGGCTGTTATCAGGACTCCCTGCCGGCTCCACGCAAGAGGAACAGCCCCTCCCAGAGCTGCACCCAAAACATTTCACCTCCCTCGGCTCCGTCTGGGGCTGTGGGACCGCAGGGACTCGGGGCTCCTGGGTTTGCCTCCCCCATGCTGGGCTGCCCCCGGCCCAGCCAAGCGCCGTGAGAAGTGCTGGGCAGAGCAGATGACATTGCCACCAGTCTGTCCTGGGACCCCCACCATAAGGAGACATCTGGGGCACCTTCCAGGGTCCCCCCCATCCTGGGGGTTCTGCACAGGGCTCCAGAGCTGCAGTGCACCCACCCTGTGCTCACCCTGAGCCGAGGGCTGCCCCAGAGCAGCTGATGCACACGAACATCCCAGCATTGCCCAGTGTCCCTGAGCTGCCCTGCCCACCCCAGGCAGTGCCAGCCCTCACTGCCACCCTCACTGCCACCCTCCCTGCCACCCTCCCTGCGTGGGCACTGCTGCCTCCAAGGCCAGGGGGCCCCCCATGCTGCCCTCACCCCCGACCACGCTGCACTTACTGTCCATGGAGCGGGCAGGGCAGGGGTCCCCATGCCCTGGGGAGGCCACACGGGGCACCCAGCTGAGCTGTGTCTGTCGGGGCGTGCCCGGGGTGGCAGCAGTGGGGTGTGGGGGGGTGCAGGAGGGTGGCTGCGAGGCCCTGATAAGCTCAGCAGCAGGCAGCTGTGTGCAATTCCAAGAACCACGTTGGGCTCAGGGTGCTCTCCCAAATTCCTGTGCTGCAGCTGGTCCCGTGCCCGGGGGGCTGCCCTTGTTCCCGACCCATGGGACTCCCTGATGCACCAACGTGCCAACACAGCCAAGTGGCAACGCAGCAACGTGCCTCCACCCCCATGGCAGTGTGGCCATGCAGCCACAGACCTGCTCCAGGAACTTTCTGCCCTTCCAGGGATGGCACTGAGGAGCCCTGAGGCCTCAGCCAGAACCTGCATGTCCAGTTCTCCCCCCATGGAAGGACATGGCAGAGCAGGGGGTGGCAGAGGAGCCCTGAGCAGGAGCAGCCTGGGCTCTCCTGTCACACCCAGCCGATAACCCCGTGTTTGCCCAGGCCGGAGCCCTCGCTGCCACAGCAGCCCTGGCACTGCCGGTGCCAGCTCCTCGCAGCAGGGCACTCCCTCCTTCCCTGGGGACACGCCACCTGCTCTGGATCGCCCTGGCACCCGCCAGGATAAAGGCAGGGCTGTGGCACAGTGTCCTTGGTGCCTGGATCTGGCTGGGTCCCAGCAGGGTGGGCGACATCGCCAGTGCCCAGAGCCACCCTCCCTCCTGGCACGGGGTGTCACAGCCAGGCGGGCGATGCCGTGCCAGGACGCCGTGGGACATCCCTATCCTCGTTCCCTCTGCCCCCACTCAAGCCCACTCCTGCCAGGAAGCCCCTCCCGGCCCTGCTGCTGCCCCAGCACGGTGCTGGTGTCAGACAGAGCCCGGCTCGCCCAGCTGCGGGTGCCGGGGGTCCCCACTCACCCCTCAGTGCCCCCGTTCCGTGGGCCTGGCACTGCCTGGCCTGGGGACGCCGGTGGCTGCTGTGCCAGGCTGCTGTGCCAGGCTGCTCTGTGTTTCCGGGCAGGTGAGCGGAGCCTGTTTTACCCTGGGGCTGAGCCAAAGTCCACAGGTGATGCCAAGGAGCCAGGAGCTCTCCACGCCCGCCGCAGGGTGTGTGCTGGCAGCCGGGCTGGCACCAGCAAGGCTTGAGGCCCCACTGCCCCAGGAGAGAGCCCTGGAATCTCAGTCCTGAGCAGAAGCAGGACCTGCACCAGCCTGGGCATGGACAGAGACCCATGGCCACCTGGTGATGGCACCTGGGGGCATCCAGGAAACCAGGCTGCCACATCCCCTTTACCTGGGCAGCATCACCCCTCTCCCTTCCCTCCCAGCACCCTGGGTGCCACAGACCCCTCTGTCCCCACATCCTCTGCCCACAGAGTGAGGGAACAGCAGAACCCATCCCAAACCTTCCAGCCCCATCCCAAACCTTCCAGCCCCATCCTCCTCGCCGGATCCCCAGCCCAGCCTCCTCCCGCCCGTGCCCGTCGGTGGCTCCAGGCTGGTTGTTCACACAGTTTATTTGCTCGGTTTGGGTGTTTTACAAACAACGGTGGAGGGGGGGGGGTGGGATGGGAAAGGGAAGGGAATTCAAACGGCTTCGGCACAAGTGAAAAGCTCAGGGGCACGGGAAGTGCACTTCAGCGGAGCTGGGGGGGTCAGGGGGCTGTGGGACCGCGTGGGGACGATGCCAGGCCCACCCCCCGCTCCTCTCACACCCCAGCCCCGGCCCGGGGGGCTGGACCTGCTCCCCACCGCCCCCGGGGCCGGGCTGGGCTGGAGGTCAAAGCCAACCGAGGGGCAGGGGGTGCCAAGGGGGGAGGGAGCCCCAGCTTGGGTCTGGGGGGATCGCAGGGCCCAGGGTGGGGTGGGGTGGGTGGTGTTGGCCCCTGATGTGGGGTGGCAAGAGGTGACATTCCCCCCAGGACGATGCCCTGTGGCACCCAGCCCATGCCCTGCTCTGCAGCAATGGGGCTCCAGCGATGCCCAGCAGCGGGTGGGACAGGAGAAGCCCCCCCCTCCCCTGGCAGTGCCCTCCCAAAGCCCCCCTTCCCCAGCCCTGCCTCAGCCAGGGGCTGTGGGTGCCTGGCCAGGGCTCAGGACAGGGGTGGCACCATGAGCCCTGCCCCCCTCAGCCCTGCAATGACCCTACTGGGGTGAAACCTGCAGCCAGGGTGGGAACTGGGGGACAACTGGGATGTCATGGGGACAGGGGGTGTCACTGCTCACACAAGGGGAGTGGGGGGAAGGAAAGCCCATCCTTGGGGGAGCTGAGTCCCATCCCTGGCTGCTCGACCACCGGTGTCCTGCTGGGCTGGGCAGCTTGGATGCTGCTCCCCACAGGTTTTGGGGGATCCCAGGGGACTTGCCCAGCCTCACAGCAGAAGGAACCCTCACTAGTGGCTGCACCCTGCCCAAAGCTCCTGGACAGGCACTGCCAGCGTAGCTGCTGCAGCTCAGGGCCAGCTGATGTGGGCACAGGGGAGCAAAAACCATGGGGCCCCCCTGCGTTCCCCAGCTGGTGTCAGTGGGGAGAAAACGCTGGTGCTGGTGGTGAAATCCCCACTGAAGGGCTGGGGTGCAGGGTGGGGCAGCAGGGAGGCTGCTCTCTGTGGGACACCTGGAAGCTCCCAGTGCCACTACTGGGGTGAACTGGGCTGCCCCACCCCCCCTGGGGGACCCAAAGCTGCAGCCCGGGACCCCAGAACGTGGCTCTGCAAAGCTGCTGCTGCTGAGTGGCAGAGGCAGGAAGGGGACAGGACGCTGGGCCACGCTCCTGCTGCCACGAGGAAACACAGGACCCCCACCCCATTCCTGCCCCACAACACTGGGCCCCCCGAGTTGCCCCAGGAGGACACGGGCACTGGCCACAGCACAGTGCAGCCCCCTCAGCTGGCACAGCCCGGTGGCACCAGCTGGCAGCCGAGGCAGAGGAATGGCTGTCACTGCCAGCACCAGAGTGAGGGGCTCCAACATGTGGGGCTGAGCCCGGGAGGAGCAGAGCAGGCCTGGGGCCAGGCTGGGTGACCCTGCAGGAGGAGCAGAGCAGGCCTGGGGCCAGGCTGGGTGACCCTGCAGGAGCCCCGGTGGCCCCGGCCATTACCCCAGCCGAGTACCAGGGAGGGGACGGACGCTGCCCTCGATGCCCTTCCCTTGCCTGGACACGCTCTGTCCCCAAGGGCTTGAGGACCACAGGGATGGGGACAGGAGATGGAGCAGAGATGCCCGTGGGCAGGCAGCGGCCAGCAGAGCCAGGCCTTTCCCCGCTGGAGAAGGGGCCAATGGAGGCACGGAGGGAGGGGCTGGCACAGGGCCGGCTCCCGTGCCCACCGTGGGCTCGCCCGAGGGTGGGTCCCGCTGGTGGCGGCTCCCGGGGAGTCATCTACGGACACGGCGTCGTCCTCCGACCCCCTGCCCGGCGGGACAGCGTCGGTGACAGAGGGAAAGGCCCCGGTGCCGGTGGCAGGTGGGGACGAGGCCGGGCCGTGGTGGGGCGAGGGGGTCACTAATAAATACCACGGGCAGCGCTGGTGGGGGCGGCACGGGGCCGGCATCGGGCAGATGGGGCGAGCGTTGCCCGCCGCTGCCCGCTGCGGCCCCGTTGGCACCGCGCTGGAGCGCCCCGGTTCTGCAGAAAGAGGCTCCGTGTCCGTGCCGGGCCTGGCGAGCGGGGGCCGGGGCGGAGGGGGCTCGGCGGGGGCTCACATCACCGTGCAGCACTTGCAGCGCTGCTTCTTCACGTCTGTCTCCTGCTCGGCCTCCTTGGCATCTGTGGCGTTGGCACCCGGCTTCTCCTCGCCCAGCGGCTGGGCGGCCGCCGGCTCCAGGGCGGTGCCGTTGGGCGGCGTGTGGTCCTTGTGTGCCGGCTCCGGCTTGCTCTCGGCATCCTCGATCACCACCAGCTCTGCCTTGATGGTGCCCTCCAGCCCCAGCACCTTCTTGGTCTCGTTCTCATCCTCCACGTTCTGGTAGCCCATGAAGATCATGGTGACGGGTTGCTCCTGGCCGGGCTCCGTCCCCTCGCCCGGCGGCACCTTCGCCTGCAGCCCCGTGATCTCCCGCCGCGGCGTCGGCTTCTGGCTGCCCGGGGCGCTGCCGCCGCCCTTGGCCGGGGTCTGGCGCCCGGCGGCCTCGCTCAGGGTGGCCTCGTCCGCCTTGTGCAGGAGCTCGTCCACCTCGGAGGAGCTGAGGGGGTGAGCCCCGTTCTGCAGGGCGCCGTCCTCGGCGCTCACCGCGTGCACCACTGCGGGGACAAGAGGAGGGAGGGTGAGAGGGGCTCGGCATGGGGGGGCACGAGATGATCTGGCAAAGTTCCTGCTGGCACGACCCGCTCGGTCCTGGCTGCTGTGTGCTCACAGAGCGGCCCCTTCCCCTCTCCGGAGGTCCTGCCGCCGAGGCCGGTCCTCCACAGCATCCCAACCCTCCCCTCAGTGGAGCGGCCGCCAGACCCTCTCTCATCGCCTGGCTCGGGCCCGGCAGCAGCCAGGGAGACCGAAACAGAAGGCCGGTGGAAGGAGCCGTTCCCAGAGCCTCAGGCCCGGCCAGCCCCGCGGGAGCCGCGGCCGCTTGCCAGGCCACGGAGAGCCGGCCAAGCCGCCCACGGCGGGACGGCGTCTGCCGGCGTCTGTGACACTTTGTCACCGCTGCCACCTCTGAGAGCCCAGCCGCTGCCCCACGGTGTCCCCACCACTTCCAGCAGGACCATTGCACCCGGCAGCCCCGTGCCCGCAGGAGACAGGGCGCTCCCTCTCTCCCTCTCTCCCTCTCTCCCTCCCCGGTGCCGTGCTGGCTGCCGTGTCACCGGAGGCAGAGATGTGCGTCACGGCCAGAGCGGCCAAGGGCTCGTTGTGGTTTCCTCTTGACCCGGGGCCATGTCGTGAGGGACAGTGACCAGGCTGGCAGGGCCAGCACGGCCGTGGCCACACGGAGGGGGTTGGACGGGAGCGCTGTGCTTTCCTTCAAGAGGGGGTTGGTGCACTCAGCCATCACAGCTCCCAGTAGGATGCCCCACTTCCGTGGCTGGTCCTTGCCACCACGATGGTCCCTTGGGTTTCACGAGGCCCTCTGAAGCAGGTTCCCAGATGTTCCCAAAAGCAGGAGCTGCAGACAGGGACCAGTCCCTACCATACCCTTCAGCCATGCTGTGGGACAGGCCAGCATGGTGCTAGTGCACGCTCCCTGCCCATGGGACAGTCTTGGACACCACAGATCCTCTTCTCTGCTCTCCAGCAGTGCAGGGTCACGATGTGCAAACCCGGGCCGGCCCATCTGGCCCATCCATGCTGTGCTGCCGTGACAATCCTGCAATCCAGTGGACTGGGGTGGGTGAGGGATGGCCCTCACAGAGCTGGCAAAGCTGTCAGGAGCAGACCCGCACGTCCTCGCCCTGCAGGGTGCCCGCTGGGCTGGCCGGGTGGCCGCTCCCTCGTGCCCCGCCACCGGCCAGCAGCGTGGGCCGGCCCGTACCTTTCAGCTCGTCCTCGTACACCTTGACCCCCTGCAGACAGTGGTTCTGGGGGAGCATGGTGGTGCTGGACAGGACCTTGGTCTCCCCTGTCACTCTGTCCTTCTCCACTGTGATCTCCACCGAGTACATGGCTGGGACACAAAGAGGACAGCGCGGGTTACGGTGGTCCTGGCCCTCCCCGGCCCTGGCTCTGCGGCTGGCGGCGGGACGGCACGTGGCGGAAGCGCTGTGGTGCCCAGCAGGGCTCAGTGGTGCCCAGCAGGGCTCAGCAGGGCTCAGTGATGCTCAGCAGTGCCCAGCAGGGTTCAGTGGTGCCCAGCAGGACTCAGCAGTGCCCAGCAGGGTTCAGAGGTGCCCAGCAGGGCTCAGCGGTGCCCAGCAGGGCTCAGTGGCACTCAGCAGGGTTCAGTGATGCTCAGCGGGGCTCAGCAGGGTTCAGTAGTGCCCAGCAAGGCTCAGTGATGCTCAGCAGGGCTCAGTGGTGCCCAGCAGGGCTCAGTAATGCCCAGCAGGGCCCAGTGATGCTCAGCAGTGCCCAGCAGGGCTCAGTGGTACCCATCAAGGCTCAGCAGTGCCCAGCAGGGCTCAGTGATGCTCAGCAGTGCCCAGCAGGGCTCAGCAGTGTTAGCAAGGCAGCAGCGAGGAGCGGTGGTGAATGGCAGAGGCAGGTGTGACATCCCTGGCACATCCCTCCTCTCGGCCCCCATGTCCATCCTGGTGCTGCTGGCATCCCCTTACCTCCACGGTTCTCGGGTTGAGCCGTGTCCATCTGTCCAGGCAGTGCTGCCCTGGGGCTGGGCTGGCAGCCAGGCTCATGCTCAAGGAGCTGCAACCCCCACTGAGGGTGCTGGCGCTGGGACAGCCCCTCTGCCCCCATGGTACGGGTGATCCTTGGCATCTCTCCTTCCCCTCCTGGCCAGCCCCTGCCAGCAGCAGGGTCCCCTCAGCCCTGTGCATGGTGCTTAGCTCCGAGGAGCCCAGTGTGGGCTCTGCCCCATGCTGGTGCCATGGTCTGGTGTGAGCCACTGCCCCAAAGCAGCCAAAGCTGCTGCAGCCTCCCCAGCTGAGGCAGCCCGTGTGCCCCTGTGGCTGCCACTCTGCTGCCTCGCCCCTGCGCAGAGAAGCTGCAAACGGAGCAGGAAGGATGAAACTGGAGCAGAGACACGGAACAGGGCTGAGGCAGAAGGGCCCCGAGCCACAAAGCAGCCGTGGGGTGGAAGCAAAACCAAACCCTGTGATTGCAATGAGGGATGTTCTGTGCCCTGGGCTTGGAAAGGCATCGAGCGGCACGGCGGGCAGCGAGCTGAGGGCGGCACGGAGGGGAGGGGGAAGAAGCTTGGAAGGAGAGCTCCTCCCAGGGCAGCGGGCACCTACCCGCCTTCATCATTTCACTGCCTTCCACTGCCTTCATGGGGCTGCTGGACACCCTCTTGTCTGCTGGGGATGAGAGGAGAGACGAGCGCCTGAGCCCAAGCGATCTCCCGGTGTGGCACGGGTCACAGTGTGTCCCCCCGTGGCTGGCACCTGGGAGGGCTCCCCCACCACAGGGCACCACTGTCCCCGGGAGGGGACACGGGAGGGGACAGGGGACACGGCGACAGGGCTCTTGTCTGGTTCTCCCCACCCATCTGGCTTCAGGGCAGCCGGAGGTGCTGAAACACGGGGATCAGGATTCACCTACCCTTAACTGTGCCCAGAGGACTCTGCAAAACAGAAGGGAGAGGTTATAGGAGCTTCCAGGACCTGCCACAGACCTGCTGCCCGCACCACCCACCACCCACACAGCCACCCATTCCCACCAGGGCCAGGGACCCTGAGTCCACTATGGGCAGCCCTGCCCATGCCCAGCAGTCCAGGGCCCGTGTCCTCCTGGGGCAATGCCAGCGAGGGAAAGGCAACCTGGGGGGCCCAGCCTTGTGGGGCAGGAATGGAGTGGGGGTCCTGTGTGCCCACCTTCTGCGTGTTGGGGACAGCCTCAGCCTTCTTCTCCTCCTTGGCTGCTGCCTCTGCCAGGTTCTCCTTGGTCGAAGCCACTGAGCTGCTGTTCTCCAGCATCTCCAGCTCCTTCTCCAGCCTGCAGGGAGAGTCAGGGCTGAGAGGCCGAGGGAGTGTGGGGCAGGAAACTGTGGTGCAGGCAGCCACAGCAGACCTGTGAACACAGGCCAGGGCAGCAGGGGGACACAGATTGTCCCCTGGGCTCCCAAGGTGCAGGCACACACCGACACACAGACTGGCATGGCTGTCACTGCCTCTTTGCAGAGTAAAAGCCAACGGGTTCAGCACCAAGGAGGGCAGAAACCCCACCAGGGGCACTGGGCAGGGGGACCACCACGCTGGTGCTCCCTCACTTGGTGGCCAGAGCGAAGCTGCTCCATCACCGTCCTGCTCCTGCAGGCATCCTCGAAACCTGGCTGAGCTTTCCGAGGATTCCCAGCCCCCAGCCGGGCAGCGCAGCCCCACTGGGATGTGGAGAGGTCCGGGCAGTCCCCAGGGATCGGCGCTGCCCCGGCAGAGCTGCCCGGGCTCCTCACACGGCGCCGGCCAGGAATGCAGCTCCATTAGGGGACACAAAGGCCCCTTGGTGCCTGACCCCTCCGCGCACCGCTGCTCGCTAATTAGCGGCACCGCCGGCACTGATTGCATTCCTGCCGCGCTGCCCGGACACCTCCGAGCCGAGCCGGGGCCCGGGGCCCCTCTGCGGCTGCCCAGGGACAAGGGGGGCGGGAGGGGCTGAGCCATCTCCCTTCCCAACCTCCCCCATCCGCCCCTTCCCAAGAGCTGCACCACCGCCACGGGGACAGAAATCTGTGGGAGCCCCCTGGGCACCCCAATCCGAGCCCCCACCCTGTGGCTCCCACTGGTACCCGATGGGTATCACTGGGAGCTGATACCCATCAGCTGGGCACACTCTGGCTGCGTCCCCTGGACAAAAGCTGGCAAGGACCCAGCCAGGGTTCAGGGCTCAGGCTCCAGGGTGAGCCCCAGCAGCGCCCTGGGGGCACCTCCAAGCTCAGTGCACCCTGCCTTGTGCCCAGCACATGGCATCCACCTCAACCTCAGCACCCACCTGCCCAGGGCTCTCCGGAGGGACTCGGGTCCTGTCTAACTGCACCCCCACATCTAGCCCCACACTGGCTCTGTTACCTCTGGATGGTTTCCTCCAGCTCCTTGGTCTTCACCTCATCCTCCTGCATCTGTTTCTTCATGGCCTCTTCCTCCTCGGAGGCAGAAGCTGGGGCCCCCTCCAGGAGCCATCTCTCCCGCAGAGCCTTGGACTGGGGAGCAGAAGGGGGTCAGGGTCCTGCCCTCCCCAGCCGGGGAGGCAGCCTGGGCTTCCCGGGGGGATCCTCACCTTGAGATGCTGCAGCTGCCGCCTGTCATCCTCGAGCTGCCGCCTTTTGTTCTCGATCTCCGTCTGCCGCTTCCGCTTCTCCTGGAGGGACGGAACGGGGTCGGCGTGGGGAGGGGGCGTGCACCGGGCACCGCCGGGCAGGGGGAGCGGGGCTGCCCCCAGGGACGGGGCCAGCCTCGGGAGCACCCCACAGCAAGGCTGGTACCAAGTCCCTGCCCTCCCCGGGACAAACCGAGGCATTGAGGGTGTAGAGAAACGGGGGCAGAGCCTGGGCTCTGCTCACCATCTCCAAATGTCACCTTCCCCTCGGCCGGCCCCACTGAGCGAGCTGCCAGCCCCTACCTCGTCCCCCCCTCCCTGCCACCCATCCTGGGGCTGCTCCAGATCATTTCAGCAGAGTCAGAGCCAGCCTGGACGCCTCACCCGGCGCTTTCTCCTCTGGTCCAGAACAATTTGCCCATTGTGCACCAGAGATCGGTGTTGGCCGGCTGGGCTGGGCAGTGGGGCTGCACTGGGGCTGCAGTGGGGCTCAACCAGCCCCGTGCCCTGCTCTGAGCTGGGAGGGGTCAGCAGGGCCCCCAACTGCCCCCTAGTTAATATAATTACTAGTGCCCATGCCGGGCATGGCTGGAGACCACCATCCTCAGCCCTTCCTGGGGAAGGGGGGAAGGGAATCATCACTCATTTCCCTCACTTGGGGCTCATCAAGGCGCTGCTTCGTTAATTAAACCTCCCAGCTGCCTGTTGCTTGCTCTGTCCTTGTTTCAACTGTGCAGCCAAGCCATGACACCCCAAGAAGAGCCTCCACAGGGACACACTGGCCATTCTGAGTCCTCGTTCTGCTGCTGGAGACACCCTGGTCTGTGGCTGAGCACCTGCCCCAGCTCCCCTACACCCTCCTCCCCGCTGGTGTCTGCCCCGTGTGCTGCAGGTGACAATTTGGGGACCTGAGGAGGGACTCACCGCGATGGCCTGCAGCCTCTCCTGCTGAAGGGTGCTGGCCTCCACGACCCTGCAGAGAGCAGAGAGCAGCTGTGAGGAGTGACACCAGTGGCTGGTCACTGAGGCAGCGTGCAACTAGCAAGCCAGACACTGTGGAACACAGAAAAAGGCTGAGCCCCTCCCTTTCATCGCCTGCTTCCTCCTGGCTACCCTGCAGCCGAGCACCCCTCGCTGCACGGCTCCTCCAGGCACCTCCTTCCAGAGGTTCTCCTCCTTTTCCATGGCCATGCGGATCTCCCGCTCGATGGGTGTCTCGCTGCTGACCCTCGTCTCCTTGCCCAGCCCATTGCTGCTGGCCCTCAGATCCACATTGGAGGTCTCGTTGGAGGTGCTTCCATCGCTGGCACAGCCCGCAGTGGCTTCGTTGTACATCTCACCCAAGCCAGAGTCCAGGTCTTCTCTGGACCACGCTTTGGTCAGGATGGATGTCTTCCCGATGGGATAAGACCTTTCTGTGTGAGCTTGACCTTGGCCCCTGCCCTGCCCAAATCCCCCCAGGCAGGCGCCTTGCCCAGCCCCTGGAGCACTCGTGTCACACAGAGCCGCTCCTGCCGTGGCGCAGATGGAAACCGTGAGCACGAGGGGCTGGAGCAGGAGCTCCTGGCCGCCCCGTGTTCCAATCTGGCTCACGCTTTCCATTCCAAGCCCGTTTTTTGGCTGCTGACACCTTTCCCCGACCGTGACCTTTCCGGGCCGCGCACGCAGGCACACGCACGCACATGTGCACGGACAGACACAATCAGACACACGCAACAGCAGCCTCTGCTCCTCGTGCCACCCGTGTTCAGGGCCCAGCAGCAGGATGAGCCCCCCGGCCTGGCACAGCTCTGCCAGGTGCGCTGGAGTGCTGCAGGGAGGGGTTGTGCCCCAGCCCTGCGGCCACCTGCCCACGGACCCGCTGTGCCGTGTCCCCACGGTGTGGAGAGCGGTGCAGGCAGCAGCACAGCCCCGCAGCACAGCAGGAGACCCCACGCTGCAGAGCACCAGCTGCAGCTTCGCTGCTGGGGCCGGCTGGGACAGGGATGCTCCAGCGCCACGGGAGCCGCTGGCTGCTCGCCAGACGGTGCTAACGAAGAGCTGAGCTGTGGCACTAATTAGGGTGGGAGGCACTGAGGTACTGGCAGGCCATGGATCATCTCTGCTTGCTTCCCAGAGCAAGGGACAGAGAGGTGGACTCCACGCTCCCAGGGGAGGTGGTTTTACACACAGGGTGGGATTGGGGTGCTGAGCCCCACAAATGACACCCTGGGATCTGACCTCATGTGCCACCACGTATGTGTCCTCCCACGGGCTCCACACGGGCTTCCCACGGCTCAGGTGGGCTCTGCAGGGTGAGAGGAGCCCCTGCTCCCTCCTCCAAGTCAGCAATTAAGCGGGAGCTGCTCAGAGCCGCCGTCCTCCCCTCACCCCACACCCCGGGGATCCCTGCGATGCACAAAATCCAGGCCAGGAAAACAAACGGGGAAGGTGTCGCTTTGGTGCTGGTTATTTTGGTGCTGTTTGCAGCGACGCCGTGGCGGTTCCGCCGGCGCAGGCGCAGGGCACCGCTCCCACACCCCCGTGTCCCGTGTGCCCCCCACCAGCCCCACACCCCGGGGTGCCCATCATCACGGGCTCCCTTCTGTGTGGGGCCACAGGAGCCCTCAGTCCAGCCCTTGGCACCCCACACTCACAGGGCGTTGAACTGGGCCCTGTTTCTCTCCTGGATCTTGCCCTGTTCCACAGATCCAAACTTTTACAGCATTCCTGAAACATTCTGTTCTGCTTTTCCTCCCTCCTCCATCCTCTTTATTTTCCATTATTTGCTACAGTCTCCAGCTCAGACGCCAGGAATCTTCCTGGCCCGAAGAGAGACACAAAGCAGGCTGGATGCCCCTTGCTGCAATCCCTCAGCCGGCTGAGACCCTGCCCGGGGGGCTCTGACCCATCGAGGGGGGCTGAGCCGGGAGCACCCCCACACCCCCAGTCCCTGCTGCCAGGACCAGGTGCTGAGGAGGAGGCAGGGGTCCCCAAAACCCCATCCTGCCTGCCGTGCCCCATCTCTGGGGTCGGTGTGATGGGGCCCAGCCCGGCCCTTGTGACTGATGAAGGCGGTTCCCTGGCAATGGTTCCCTGGCAACTGTGCCATGGCAACAGCGCCATGGCAACGGGAGAGCGGTGAGGGGACGTGGGGGGATGCTCAAGGGGATGTGGGGGGATGCTCAAGGGGATGTGGGGGGATACTCGTGGTGGCAGAGGGACCAGAGGGCCCCCCAGGTGCCCTCCCCAAGCCTGGCACCCCATGGCATCACTGAGACCTCCTTAAGGGTTCTGGTGCTCCTGATCCATCCTGGGTGCCGGTGAGGGTGGGAAGGTGCTGGCAGGGCTACTGAGCTCCTCAGGAACCACGAGGAGCAGGGGAAAAGGAGCAGGGAGATGGGGGATGATGCCCTGGGAGCTCCCAGCAGCAGTCCCCGGGCCCGAGGCCGTACCCACACCCACGTGTGGGCACACGCACCCCCGTGCACACACCCGTGCTCTCCCTGGGCTCTCCAGCTCTTTCCAGCCCTGCTGATGCCGCCGTTTCCCACCATCACAAGGGAAGCCCGTGACCTTTTGTCTCCTCCCGCCTGACATGAAACAATAATGTTTATTTGCCTTGCTCCGTTTTTTCCCATTAGCTCATCCAAATGTGTGAAGAGCCGTTTCAAGCTGCTTCTCTGCTCCCCTGACCTCGCCTCCCTCCCCACCCACTCAGCTCTAAGCTGGGGGAACGCAGGAGAGAACCCTGCATGGGCGCCCACCCCGTACAGACCCAGGGTGTGTGGCAAAGGCAGCAATGGAGGGATCAGCAGCGATTTCCAGCTCCACTCCCATGCCAGGAGCCGGGCCCGGAGGGACGGAGGCTGCAAAGCTCTGTCACAAAGCCACTGACAGCGGGGCCGGGATCGAACGCTCCCGATGGCAGGCGCGGGAGGGGAGGGGAGGGCGAGGGGAGAGGAGGGGGCTGCAGCCGCCCCGGGGCCGCCGTGCATCGACCATGAAGGCAAAAGCATCAGCGGCAGCGGCTCGGGCAAGGATGGCCACAAATGTGCGCGGCCAGCGAGCGCCGTGGCCAGCGCAGGGACGGGACCTGCTCAGGTCCTGCTGCACGGGGGCTGCTCCTGCCCTGCCCCGCGCTCCTGCTGCCGCTGCTGCATCCCCACAGTGCTCGTCCCATTCCTTCCAGCTGCTTTCCCCATGCCTGCGCAGCCCCAGCCATCGCCGCTGCCCGGGGAGGGGACAGGGACAGGGGGAGGCGGGGGGAGGAGATGGCAGCCCCAGGCTCCCGAAAACGCAGATGCATTAGAGCAAGCGGAGCTGCCTGATTGATTCTTCGGGCTGAGACGTGGGTTGGGAGTGCCAGGAGAAAATGGATCCCATGAATATTTGATGAACGGAGGCTCGGGGAGGGAGTTTGATTGGAAAATTACAGATCTTTCAAACAATGGTTCAAGTGCCCTCCAAACACTTGGGTTCTCAGCTCCCTTCCAGTTAGAGGAGCAAGGCTCCACCAGGAAACTCCCCCCACGACTCATGAATGAGAGTGGAGCCGGCTGCTCCCCACCCCCAGGAGCACCGGCCAGGACAGGACAGCCAGTCCTGCTGCTGCTGGCCAGGATGTGGCACCTGTGTCCTGCCACCAGCCATCCCTGGCTTCCTGTTCCTGCGTGGCAGCTTTCCCGCAGCAGCGCCACGAGCACAGACGCACACGACGTTCCAAGGAGCCAGCAGGAACGTGGATCCAGGCACGGGCACCCCTGTGAGCCCTGACAACCCACAGGGAGCTCCGTCCTCGGCGCCGAGCCCAGGGGCTGGGCCCAACCCAGGTCAGGAAACACCTGTCTGGGGCAGGATCCACCCGGCTCCTCTCCCTCCTGCGGGCTCCTCCTTGCCCCTGACACCGGCTCCTGTCTGGGACCTGGGGGCTGCTTGGCTCCGGCTGCAGTGAAGAGACTCAGGAATCTGGGCTGTGCCTCCGCTCAGCCCTGTCCCAGGGCACGGCACCTCCTCAGCTTTTCCTGGGCCACCTCCGCTGCTGGAGGCCCCTCTTGGCTCCCAGCACAGCTCCCAGCACAGCTGCAGCCACATGAACCCCCACCCCCTGGGGAAAGGGGCTGTTTCTGGCCAGGAAGCAGGAACAGCAACACCAGCAGCTTCCCAGGAAACCTGCTCCAGTTCCTCCCAGTTCCTCCCAGCAAGGCAGGCCCAGCTGAGAGGCCCCGGCATGCAGCTGAGCTCTGAAGGCCACGATCTGCCAGCCCCAAGCAGGGCTGGGTGCCTGTGTGGGGTCATCTGTGGTGGAGCTTTTGGAGCTTTTTATGGCCTCCTCTGGGAGAGCTGCTCCAGCTGGACACAGGGACAGGACAGAGTTGACCCCTTCTGGTTCCTCGCTGGCCAGGAGGCAGCAGGGTCTGGCCTGGGTTTTACTTCTCCCTGGATGCCAGCAGGGAGCAAGGGCTTGAGTCCCTTCCCAAAGGACTCATGGGTTATTTCTCAGGCAGAAATCTCCCTCCTTCCCCTGGGTGCAGCTGTCACCTTCGGATCAGGGAAGGCAGGACCAGGAGAGCCCTTGCTCCAAGGAGACCCTCAAAGCCAAGGGGAGAGCAGCAGCTGAGACAAAGCAGCAGAGCAGCCAGCTGTGAGATGCAGGAGCTCCAGCTGCTCACGAGCACGGCCAGCAGCGGCAGCGGAGGGCACAAGAGCAGCTCCAGTGGGACCAGCACAACCTTTACCAGACTTGGAAAGTTTCTGCCAAACCTCCCTGGGCACCAGTGGATTGTGGCAGCCAGGACCCTCCTCCAGCCACTGCCCGTGCCAAGGCAAAGCAGGAGCCAGGGCAAAGGCAGCAGTGCCCGCCCCAACACCCGTTGGCTGCCGCAGAGCCAGGCCAGCAGCAGGGCAGCACCTCGCCATGTCCCCAGGTGCCCTGGGGCCCTCCTAATCCTCCAGCCCCTGGCCAAGGCTCTGGAGCTGTGGGGCTGGAGGGGTCCTGTTGTTTTGCTCTGTGGCTGTGCCCCTCACCCGGGGTCACTCGTGGAGTTTCGGTCAAAAGAAAGAAACACGAGTGTACAGAGCTGGCAGGGGAAACCCTTTGCACCCCTCCGTGGGCTCTTTGGCCCCTGCTGGTAGGGCTGGTCCAGAGCAGCGTGAATGGGGAGCCCAGGGGCAGGAGCCACCAGCCTGTCCAGCACCATCCCCCACCTCGGCCCCAGGAGAGCCTGAGTCCAGCCCAGCAGCTCCTCACCCCCTCCCCAGGGCAGTCACACCCCTCGGCTCTGCCCTTCCCCTCGCTGCTGCCTTTTGGCAAATCGCTCTCGTTTTCCTCCCCAAAGAGGCTCTTTCCTGAAGGGACTGGGGCGCCGTGGGGCTGCCCGAAGCCTCGGCCCTGCCTCTGGCCCCTCCAGCAGCACGGGGAGCCACTCTGCCTCCCCAACCCCGCAGCTGCTGCACCCAATCTCCAAAACATCCCCACTGGTGACCCCAGCTCAGTTCCAGCCCCAAATCAGCCAGAGCCCACCGTGACCCCAGGACACCCCCAGCCCACCCCTCGCCAGTGCCCCGTGGCCTCTTGGGGTTCCCAGGCCGTGCTGAGAGGGACCTGTTGAGCACCCCCTGTCTCAGTAGCCGGTGGCAAGTGGATCGCTGTAAAGTGAGGAGCCCATGAGCTGACCCCGAGCTGCCTGGAGGAACACCCAGTGCCAAAGCCAGGCAGCTGCTGGGCTGTTCACCCTGGCGGGCACCAGAGCCACGGGAGGGAGGGAAAGACTTGGGTGAGACAGGGCCAGCGCTGGCTTCCAGCACCTGGAGCATCCCCCCAGCCCTGCACCCTCCTGGCAGCAGCTGCTGGTGTCCCTAAAGCGGCAAAACCACAGGCGGGTAGGACAGCCCGTGGCCACCAGCCCCTAGTGGCCTCTGCCTGCTCCGTCCTTCCCCCACCCGCCCGGCTCCGAGCTCCCAGCGACCGGTCAGGGCCCCACCGCCGCACACAAAGGACGAGGCCGGGTCCGAGCGTGTCCGTCTGTCCGGACTTCTCCGCTGGCACCCGGATCACGAGGATCCCCCGGCCGCAGCCGGATCCCTGGGCAGGGGCTGGGGGTGCAGTGCAGGGAGGGGTCCGCAGCTCTTTCCACCCACTCACCCCACCACACGCAGCAGCAACAACAGGTTCAAAACACAAAAATAAACGCCCTCCCCGCCCCCCCACCCCCCCCGCTTCCTGCACCGCTGCCAGCCCCGACACCCCTCGCACCCTGGGCACCCCCGCACCCACAGCGGGGCCGCTGCTGCCCCCCGAGCCCCCCAGCACCCACGGCGGGGCAGGGGCCGGGGAGGGGCCGCACCTGCTGAGCGGCACTGGGGGCAAGGAGGCCCCGGGATCGGGGTCCCGAGCCCCAGAACCGAGGGGTGGGAGCCCCCGGTATTGGGGTCCTGAGCTCCAGTATCTGGCAGGATGTAAGCCCCCAGTTTTGGGGTCACAAGCACAGGAACGGAGATGGATGCGAGCCCCACCCCCAGTTTTGGGGTCCCAAGCCTCAGCATAGGGGGATACAAACCTCTGGTATCGGAGTCCTGAACCCCCAGAATCGGGGGGATGTGAGTCTCCGGTTTTGGGGTGCTGAGTGCCCAGGAGCAGGGGGATATGAGACTCCCCAGCCCCGGCTTCGGGGGTGTCCGAGCCCCCGGTCCGAGCCCCGCGAACCGGCGGAGCGAGCTTCCCGCAGCCTCCCGCGGGGGTCCCGAGCCCCGGGCCCCGCTCCCCGCTCCCCCCTCCCCGCTACTGCGGTCTCATCCGGCGGGGCCCGGGGGAGCCGCGGCCCGGTGCCGGGGTCCCGGCGCGGCTCCGGTACTCACTCCATGGTCCCGGCGGCGGCTCCAGCGGGGGCGGCGGGTGGCGGAGCGGGGCCGGCGGCCGCCGGCGTCCCGGCGCTCAGGGCCCGGCGGGCGGCGGCATCCCCGGCGGGGCTGCGGGATGCGCAGGGATGTCGGGACCGCGCCGGTGCTCCCGCCTCCCTCCCGCACAGCTCCGTCTGCCGGGCGCGCCCCGCCACTGCCGCCGCCCATCAGCCGGCCTCGGGGCGCGCCGGGCTTTCATCTGCTCCCGGGGGTCCCGCCTGGGTCCCGGCCTCACCCGGCCTCGGGGGCTCCCGGGGCTGTGGCAGCTGCTGGGGGTCCCCAAGCGGGTCCTGGCTGTGCAGTGCCTGGCGCGGGGCGGGTTGGAGGGGCTGCATTTAGAGCCCCGCCATGAACACAGCCTCTGTCGGTGTGTAACTCTCTCCTGTGGATGCAGCCACTGCGTCCTGCCCCACTCCAGGAGCCAGCGACTCTTTGCTCCCCCTTTGCGCTCCCCCGTTTCCCAACCCAACGGCCGAAATGGGCAAACTGCCGCAGGAAGCCCTAAGCCACCCTCCGTTGGGAAATCTGCCCGCTGCCGGGCAAGAACTCTGCACTTGGCCCCAAAGCCAGCCGGGCTCTGCAGTGAGGGTCAGCATATCCCCCCACCCCCTACACCCCTTTGTGCATTCCAGGTTGATGCAGAACACAGGGAGGAAGCTGCCCCTCTGCCCACAGCATCGTCCCAGAGCCAGCGGGGCTCTGCAGGGGCTGAAAGAGGCGTCGGATGGGAGCACAGCACAGTCCCCGTGTCACCCACAGCAGTCCCGGGGACACTGTCGAGTCTGAGAGATGTCCTGGGGCCCCGCTGCTGCCACCTCCCTGCGAGAGGGGTTTCATCCCAGTTAGTTAAGGTACAAGAGGAGTCAGGGCTGAGAAGCTGCTCTGCTCCTCATCTCCCACTCCGGGGGAAGCAGCAACACCCGGAGGAGGAAGCAGGAGGGAAATACCCTCCCCCATCCCAAGGCTCAGCCCCTGGTGGGATTTAAGCACCAGCGGTGGTGGCAGTGGCCCACTCTGTGCCACCATGGTCACAGCGGGGCTCTTCATCCTCAGCCTGGGAGGCTCCATCCTGCTCCCTGCTCTGGCCTCGGCAGGTAACGAGAGAACTGGGGTGCCAGGGCAGATCCCCAGGGTGGGAGGGAGGAACCCTGGGCTCCAACGATCACCTGCAACCCCCAGGCACCCAGGGGAGCCAGATCATCGGGGGAAAGGCAGCAGCACCCCATTCCCGGCCCTTCATCGCCTCCATCCAGATGGACGGGGAGCACGTCTGCGGGGGCTTCCTGGTGTGGCCCAAGTGGGTGATGACAGCTGCCCACTGCTTCATTCCCAGGTGAGCCTTGTCCCCACGTGGGACACGTGTCCCCTGGACACGGTGTGGCCCCTTCTAACCCGTGCCAAGGGGTTAAGCTGTCCCCTCCCACCTGTGCCCCCCTGGCTATCCCCCCTTCCCCGATGGCCACCAGCCACAGCAGCGCCTTCTGAGCCCCGCCTTGGCCACAGGCGCAGCCCCTCGGTGCGCGTGGTGCTGGGAGCCCAGCGGCTGCAGGAGCCCGAGGAGTCCCAGCAGATCTTCAGCGTGGCCGAGTCCATCGCCCACCCACTCTACAACGCCCGCGCCACGGACAACGACATCCGCCTGCTCCGGGTGAGCCTGCACCGGGCACCCAGCGGCCGGGCAGGGGGGTATCCCGCAGCCCTGGGGTGCCAGAGGGAGGTGGGGTGTCCTATGGCCTGGGGCACTGGGAGGAGGTGGGGTGTCCTATGGCCTGGGGCACTGGGAGGAGGTGGGGTGTCCTATGTCCCCAGTGTACTAGGAGGAGGTGGGGTGCCCCATGGCCCCAGTGCACTGGGAGGAGGTGGGGTGTCCTATGGCCTGGGGCACTGAGAGGAGGTGGGGTGCCCCACAACCCCGGGGCACTGGGAGGAAGGTGGGGTGCCCCATAGCCCCGGGCACAGGGAGGAGGTGGGGTGTCCTATGGCCTGGGGCACTGGGAGGAGGTGGGGCGCCCCACGGCCCCAGGGCATAGGGAGGAAGGTGGGGTGCCCCATAGCCCCGGGCACAGGGAGGAGGTGGGGTGTCCTATGGCCTGGGGCACTGGGAGGAGGTGGGGTGCCCCATAGCCCCGGGCACAGGGAGGAGGTGGGGTGCCCCATAGCCCCGGGCACAGGGAGGAGGTGGGGTGCCCCACGAGGGCCCGAGCCGACACTAGATGTCAGTGCTTCTCCGGAGAAGCAGGACCGCGCCATGGGGTGTGACGGAGGCACCGTGGACACACCGATCCTGGCCGGGTCAGCGGCTCCCGGGGTCTCTACAGCAGGCTGGGAGCAGCGCAGAGGGGCTGACAGGGAGGGGCCCAGCCTCTGCAGAGGGAAGGGCAGGGCTGGGTGGTCAGCAGGGGCGGTGAGCTGGGGTGAGAGGGAGAACCAGGCAGGAGCAGCTGGGGGGCTCTGCTCCATCAGCAAAGCCACCCACGCCCTCGCTGCCCACCCAGCTGAACAGGTCGGCCACGCTGAACAAGTACGTGAAGCGGATCCGCCTGCCCTCTCCGCACATCGACCTGAAGCCCGGCACTGTCTGCTCCGTGATGGGCTGGGGGGACACCTCCAACTTTGGAGACCAGCCCAGCGAGCTGATGGAGACCAACACCACCATCGTCAAGAGGAGCCTCTGCCGGACACTGTGGAGGGGCAAGGTCTCGGCCAACATGCTGTGCGGGGCCAGCCGCAGCACCACGCTGCAGGGAGTCTGTGCCGTGAGTGCGCCCCCGAGCCCCTGCCCTGCACTGTCCTCCCCCTCTGCGAGACCCTCAGATCTCCCTCCCACCCCCTCATTTTGCAGGGTGACTCCGGGGGACCCTTGGTCTTCAAGGACAAGGTTCATGGCATTGTCTCCTTCTCTGGGGAGAGATGTGGGGACCGCCGGTTCCCCGACATCTACACCAAGATCTCCAACTACATTGGCTGGGTGCATCACGTTGTGCGGGGGTTCCGTGGTCAGAAGGGGTGGATGAAGCCCTAGGGTGGCTGGAAGTCCTGGGGACAGGCGGGCTGTGGGAAGAGGGGCTGAGATGTCTCATGGGGGGGGCAGAAGAGGGCCAGAACTTCCTCATCCTCCAGCTCTGGAGGGGCTGGGAGCTGATGCTCAGGGCTCCTTGACCCAGGGCAGGGCAGGAGCTCCTCTCTGCCCATTATGTACCCCCTAAGCTACATCAGAAGTGCCTCCCACATCCTCTCACAGTGGCAACATTGACCTCCCTCAATAAACCCTCAGTCCCCATCCCACTGCTCCCCCTCTGTGTTTTGGTCCCCCTGACTTATCCTGGACATGTGTGGATGGAGCAGGGGATGCAGGAGGGAGGGGAGTGCAGGCCCCACACACCCCAGAGGAGCCAGGATCTGCACCCAGCTGCTGCCACCCCAGAAGCATCCCCAGCTGCCTTCCCGCCGGGGTGTGGCTCCCCATCCCGTCCCAGCCTGTTCCATCCCGTCCCACACCGCACCCGACGTGGCCCCCCAAAGAGGGGAACCACAGACACCCCCCGGGGGCAGGCGGGCTCCCAGCTGCGCTGGGCTGGCGGAGCCCACAGGGATCCGGCCCGCCGGGAGCCTCAGCCGCCTCCCCCGCGCCCGGCCGCCGCTGCCCCGCCGGAGCCGGGTGCCCGCCGCGGCCGGGGACGCGTGCCGAGCCGCTGCTGGGTCTCAGCTGAGACTCGCGTGCCTCTGCCCGGTGTCACCGGGGGCAGACCCAGCCATTCCCCGCTCCTGGCTGTTCGTTTTATCTGCAAATTGCCGGCACAAATTGCCGCGGATGCTGCAGGGCCTTGCGCGGGGTCAGGAGATGCCAGCCGCGGGCGCGGGTGGCCTTGGGGACATCCAGCAGAGGACGGATGCCTGCCGGGCTGCCAGCCTCGAAAGAAGCCCCAAATCCCAGTGGGGTGCTGGCAGTGACAGCGTGGGGCAGAGACCCCCTGGAATGCCGGGACAGCGCTGCCAGCCCGAGGGCATCCGCGCTGGCAGGGAGCCTGGAGAGCCGGCGCCTGTCCCGGCTTGTCCCAGACCACCCAAAAACCGGTGGGAAGGCGGCGCCTGACTCACAGCCGTGTTTTGGAAGCTGAAATCTCCCGCTCATCGCAGGAGCTGCCGTTGCCGCCGCAGCCCGTGCCCGCGGGCTCGGCACCGAGCCACCGGCGGCCGCTCCGGGGACCGAGCCCCGCGGCGGGGCGGGCAGCACCGGCAGCTGCCCTGGGCACGGAGCGCCGGGGCGGCCCTGGAGGAGCCCAGGCCGCACACCACCGCCTGTGGTGGCACTAGAAAGGCATGGGCGGTGTTTTGAGAACCCCTGGACACCCGCCCCCAAAAGCAGGGGGATGCTGCTGAGCTGGGCGAGCAGAGAGGGGCTGTAGCCAAACCCTCCATGCCCACCCTGGGTTGTCTGAGATGTCTTTTCCGACCTAAACGGTTCCACGATTCTCTGTGATGCTCTGCTGGGCTGCTGATGGCTCTGAGGGGATTTGGCCGGGGGTCAGGGGCGGTGCCATGCCGGCCCCCGGCACGGGGGATGCGGCCGAGGGGATCCGGCAGCAGTTCCTGTGGAGCTCAGCACGCCAAGCCGCAGGCTGCTGCCCGGGAAACATCCCACATCGGGACCCAATTACCGGCAGGAATTGTTTTGTGAAATACCAAACCCTCATGGCACGGCCCGAGATTGGGAACAGATTTATCTGCCGAGCGGGTTGCTCTTCCCCCGCTCTCCCCTTCCCTCCCACCGCAAGGAGCAGCCTCGGCTGGGCTGGAAAACCCCAGCACGGAGCTGGAGCAGATGGGATGCAGCTCCTCATGGCTGCGGGGGGCTCCCCACGTCCCCAAACCCTGGTGTGGATGCACAGCCCCAAGGAGAACAACGTTTCTTGCGAGCCCAGAACCCGCCAACAAAACCAGACACGCACCACTGTTTATTCTGGTTTTTAATTGTAATCCAAATCATAACACAGCCGTAAAATGCCCCAACAATATGGAATAGGGAATGTGGATGTTCCCAAAGCGTCTACCTCAGGGGTCAGAACCCAGTCATACAAAAATAGAAAATAAGGTATTTTTATATATAATATATATATGATATTTATATAAAGTCAAGAGCTTTTTGGTGTCAGAGCTGAGCTGGTATTTACACAGGTGACAACGGAAGAAATGAGAGAAGGAGTAAAAATAAATACAGGTGTGGGCAGAGCAGGGGGTGCGGGGCCAGGCTGAGGGGTCCTGGGGGGGACAGGGCCAGCTCCCCCCGCAGCCCGGGCTGTGCCCAAAACTGTTCTGGCAGGCAGGGATTTGGGGGCTGGGGGCAGCTGCCCAAGGCGATGGGCTTTGGGTAGGGGGATGGTTGTGCCCCCCAGCCACGGCTGCCACTGCACCAGCCCTCCAGGCACCGGCCTCGCCTCCAAAGCTGGTACGAGCCTGGTCTGAATGGGCCTGGGAAAACCTAAACTGAAATCCATTTGAACACACACATGCTGAAACTTTAGGAGACAATAACATACATGTATTTTTTTAATATATATATATAAAAATATATATCTATCTCTCTCCAATCTGATGCAGCGTGCACTGCCTTTCCTGCCACTGGCAGCTGGGGCTGAGCCCCTCAGGGAAGGCGAAAGTGCAGATTCCCTCTAGACCTCGAGGTCCTGGCCAGAAACGTCAGCAGAGTACCGAGAATTAATCCAAAAATAAATAGGCCCAGGGCTGCCGGCCAAGGACACGTGGGGGGAGCCACGGACACCCCTCCACATCGCACTGGCAGCAGGGGAGGGCACCGGCCACTCTGCCGGGCACCAGAGCATCCCAGGGCATCGTGGCCTGGCTCATGCCATGAGCCCCCTGCCCTGCTGCCCGGCCGGCAGGATGGGAATCGAGCCCCCTGCGACTGCTAAACATACACAGGGATAAATAAGGATCTTTTTATCTTAATAAATATCAGGTATATGGTTTGTACAATATACACATAATGCCCCTGTCTCCCAGCTCCGGCCCGGCCGAGGGACGATTCACACATAGTTCTCCTCCACGCTGTCCGTCTCCGCGGAGAATTTGGCCGCAGCTGGAAACAGAGGGAAGGGGTTTGGGGGGCGTGAGGGGCGAGCAGGCGCTGGGGGTCGGTGCCCGCTGCCCCCCGCCCCGCCGCGCTCACCTGAGCAGCTCCCGTAGTGGCGCACGCCGATGGAGCGGCCGCGGTGGCAGGTGGCACGCCGCAGGTGGCACGCCGAGGGGTAGGTGACGTTGTTGTTGCCGCAGAGGGCTCGGTCCAGGCTGGTGGGCTCTGGGCAGGGGGCAGTCCGGCACATCACGCAGTGGGCGCTGCCCGTCTGGTCCACCACGCAGGTGTGCGTGCCAGGACACACCACGCTGGAGCAGGACTCTGCAGGGAAGCACAGGCTTGGAGTGACCCCAGGGATGGCCATACCCTTCCCACAGCTGCTTCACCCCAGGCAGGCTTTGAGCATCATCCCAGGGAAACCCAGCCACATCTCTCCTTTTGCTACCGGGGCACAGAGCAGAGCCAGAGGCCGGGGGGTGCTGATCTCCCCATCGGAGCTGTTCCCAAGGGCTGGCAGGGGCCGGCATCCCGAGCACAAGGGAGCTCATGACCTTGAGTCCCCAGGCTCGGCGCTGGCCGGGGCTCTGCCACGCGGGAGGAGCCCGGGCCCAGCTGCAGCAGTGGAGCGCGGGGCTGAGCCCGCTCGGCGCAGCGGGACCCGGCTGGGCCACGGCCGCACGCAGGTGCCTTGGCAAAGGAGCAGCCGCTGCGGCCAGGCTGGCAGCTGCCGTGCTGGCCCCGGCGAGAGGGAAGGGCAGGGTCACCCTGGACCAGAGCCAGCACTGGAACGAGGGCGCACGGGGGTGGAGGGAGCCTGAGCAGCAGGATCAGGCTCTGCACAGGGCCCTGCTGGGGAGGGTGGAGGCTCGTGCACCCCCATCATCCCTCCACCCTCCTCTCTTTCCCTGATGGATTGGAAGATTTGGCATCTGCAGCTCCCAACTCCCATTTCTTGCCCCACGTTTCCCTGCGCGGCCCGGAGCTCGACAGGCAAAGCCTTCCAGAAAGGAGGGCTGGAAAAATAACCATAATCCTTCTGACAGCTCTTGGCAGGGCTGGGTGGATCGCTGCACTCTTTACAAAAGAGGAAAAAAAGGGGCTTGACGTTTGTAAATGACATTCTAGGGACTGTTACCGCTCAGCCTGTGGCAAGGCCAAACCCCATTGCACCAACAAACTGCAATGTCCCCTCAAGGGGCGATGAGACCCATGTCCTGCAGGGCCCTATAGCAGGACAGACCTTCCCTCCTTGTACCACAGGGAATGGGAGCAGGATGGGGACAGGATGGGGATGGGATGCAGTGGGGTAGGAGCACTTCTTCACCTACTTTTGCATTTCCCCTGGTACATCACTTCGAGGTCGGGGTGGTCTCTGCACTTGGCTGTCAGCAGGTCACACTCGTCCCGGTAGGTGTAGCCATCGGAGCCGCAGACCTGCAGCTTGCGGGGCAGGCTGGAGCAGTCGGGGGCACAGGCACACTGGGGACGCCCGTGCTTCATCTTGCAGACCTTGTCGGGGCCGCACACCACCCCCTCGCAGCTCTCTGCGGACACAGGGCACAGCGCTGAGCGGGCTGGCAGCCAGCAGGGACGGCTCCCTCCTGCCCCACAGCGTGACACTGAGTGTGACAGGGTGTCCCCCTCGCTGTCCCACGCGCCCCCCGGGTCACGGCACGCGTGCTGACGCCGAGCTGTCCCAGCAGCATCTGGATCTGCTCAGCTCTGCCGAGGCGCAGGTCGTTGGCTGCGGCTCCGCGCAATCCTCCGGCGCTCGCCCCGGCTCCGCTCAGCACCGGCTCGCTCCTTCCCATCTATTTATTCTTTGGAAGGAGACGTTTCTTTTTCTTGTGCAATGGAAAAATCTATCTCTACGAGGCCTCAGTTCCTCCAGAAGGAGCCGGGCTTCGTGAGCTGTCCGGGCGATGGGGAATGCCGCTCCCAGCAGACAATGCCCGGCCCTGTCTTGCTCCGGACGGGAACAAGAGCGGGAGGCAGCGGCCAGCGCCGCTCCCCAGACAGGCAGAGGCTTTGTCCCCCAGGTCACCTCCCGGCCAGCGCGGGGGCCAGGTTCAGGGGGTTCTGCCAGTGCCCCAGGACCGTGCCCACACTGGCAGGGATGGAGTGGGGCTGCCAGCTCCAAGCAGGGGCCCATCCTGGTGTCCAGGGGCCTGTGGGAATCCAGAGCTTCCCTCTGGCTGCCCTGGGACCCTGGCAGGGGTCAGGAACCCCCCTGGACAGAGCCCCCAGAGACACTGGCTGTGATCTCTGGCCATGGAAAAGAGTTTTCAATCTTACAGGATGAATTACAAGCTCTGAATGTTTGATATAAGTAATAATTAAGTGTGGCATGGGTACAAAAGTAAAATTTTAGGATTCTAGATGAGGGGTCCAAAAGGGACAAGATGGAGGAAATTGGGTGTGCCTTGTCCTTTTTCTCCTTCTTCATGCCCTCCATGTCTCACTGTGGTGTTGGCATTTTTCTGTTGGTTCAGGCTGGGAACACACTGTCCAACGTAGGTGACAGATATTGGCACGTTATTGTAAATCCAGCCAGGAAGTTTCTGGTATTGAATGTTTGTAACATCCCACTGAGGGCAGAGCCCCACACGCTGCCCTGCAGGACAGAGCTGGGCAGGGCAGCAGAACATGTGAGAGATAAACAGAATAAACAACCTTGAAACCAGCACAGACCAATTATGGGTTCTTCTTTGGCAGCGGGGCAGAAAGACAGAGACTTTCTACAATCTCAGAATCATCAATACCTCAGATCCTGACAGGGGCCCAGGCACTGGCAAAGGATCAGCAGCAGGGACTCCTCTTTGGATTCCCCTTTGCCACCTAAAGCACACACATCCCTCACCCCAAAAACGCCCCCACAGCTCCCAGGACACCCAGCAGCACCCAGCAAAAGGAACGCAGGGCAGGACCAAAAGGCTTCCCAAGATGGGGATTCACCCCCAGCAGGAAGGATCCCCGCAGACAGGGTGTGTGCTGGGTGGCACCGAGGGGGATTTCCCTGTGGGAGATGGGCCACCTTAGGAGACATGGAGGAGGAGGAGGAGGGGGAGAAAAAGAAAGAGGAGGATGAAGAGAAGAAGAATGGGAAATTCCCTGTCTGCTTGGACCAGCTGTCCCCGGGGGAAATACCCTGCTGGGAAACACTTTCCTATTTTGCTCCTTGATTTCCATAGCTGGGGCTCGTCCAAGGGAAGAGAAGGCTGCGAATGGGGGACCCCAGGACAGAGTGGGGCAGCTCCATGTCCCAAGGCTGCCAGAACAAACAAGACCCTATCACCCTTCACTCTGAGATGTTGGCAGAAGTGCAGAATCCAATCATCCAGACTATCCCAGCAAGGAATACTTGGAGCAGTTGGAAAATCCGCCCGTGACCCCAGCCCTGCAGCCTGGCTTCCCCCTGCACTGGGTCCTTCGGGGGGACACCGTGTCCCCAGCAGCTGGAGCCAGGAATTTCACCTCCCCCCAGAGACCCATTTGCAGAGCCCCCAGGGGCAGGCCAGCACCATCCCTGGCCGCCCCGGCTGCAGCCCACTTTATCCTGGAGTAACCTCTCCCAGGAGTGGGAGCACAGCTCCTCTCATCCGCCCTCTTCCAAGGCCTCTGGAGCCTGGTGAGGAGCAGCACCAGCTCCATCTGGATGGGACAGGCAGGGGCTGGCGGAGGGTGGGGGGTTGTGGTGCACGTGCTGGCCAGGCTCTCCAGCGCTTTCCTCAAAGCTCCTGCTGCCAGACACCAACAAACCCCAGGAACCACAGCCCCCACCATGGTCTGTGGCCACTGTCAGCCCTCCCCGGGTCCCCCAGACTCCTGGCAGAGATTGGTGAGGTGAGTGGGCTGCCCGTCCCCACTGCACTTTGCCTCCAGCACAGGGGAGCCCTTGGAGAGGGTCCCAGTGCTCCCAGCTCCCTCCAAGCAGGGACGGGGCCGAGGCCAGGATCTCAGTCAGCTTTTGGCTGGCACAGCGTGTAGCCCCAAGCTGCAGCAGGACGGGCCTGAGGAGCTGCCCTTGCAGGCAGCGCTGAGGCGTGCAGGGCGCTGGGGGAAGCGGTGCTGTTAAAAACCTTTCCCCCTTTAAGCAAATAACAACATGACCTTCCAAAGCCCTGCTCCTGCCTCCTGCGGGCAGCAGGTCCTTGAGCGTGTTCTCACACAGCCACGCAAGTGTTGGAGGAGCCGCAGCTCCGGCACACGCCAAAACATCTGGCGGGGCTGGAACTCACAGCTGGAGAGTTTCCACTTCTGGAACTGCCCGTTACATAAAGCCATTTCACACACGCGCTGGGAGGAGCGAGGGGCAACGGAGGGGAAGAAATAGATCTTTTTTCCTAAGAAAAACCTGACGAAGTTTCCTTCTGAGCAGCCGTGGTGAGGGCAGGGGAGGGAGGCCCCAGCGCAGAGGGGTTAACTTGGGAACAGCCAGCTCCAGATCCTCTCCCTGCACTTGGCTGCCCGGCCAAGCCCTGGGTCATGCATCCCTCTCCACTGGGAGAGCAACTAAAATACACTCAAAACGAGAGCAGCTGAGGGACGCAGGCTGTCCCGCCAGCCCTGATCCACAGCAGCATCCATCCAGGAGCTGCAGCAGCAGGAGCACGGGGTCAGCAGTCCCTGGGGTCCCTGTGCTGCCCCAGACCACCAAGGAGAGCCCTGTCTGTTGAGGGGCAGCCCAGCTCTGTGCTGCTGCATCCCCCGCAGCTGCAAACTCTGAGTATTGCCCCCAGGGCTCCACGCATTCCCCGCGGGGAGAGCTCAGCCCCACAGCAGCCCCTCACCCCCCAACCTGCTCACCTTTGCAGGGGTGGCAGGTCACCAGCCCCAGGAAGCCCAGCAGGCTGATCTTGTTGCCTGGGTAGGTGTAATTAGACCAGGCCACGTCCACGTTGCCGTTGGCACAGCATTCCTCCCACGTCACGCCTGTCTTCAGGATCATGGTGCACTTGGCCTCCCTCCCCTGTTGCAGCCAGCAGATTCCACCTGTGGAAGGGGCAGAGGGTGAGGGATCCCTGCTGTGCCAGGACCCCTGTGAAGGGCAGCAAGGTCCTGGCTGTGGCTGGACCACCTTGGGGCAGAGGCACAGGCATCGCTCCAGTGCCTGGGACAAGTTGGGGAACGTAGAGATGCTCTGTGCTGGCTCCTGTGGCACAAGAGCTGTGCCAGAGCAGGCATCCCCAAGGGTTCCTGCCATGGCAACTCCGTGCCCACATGGCCACCCCAGTCTGCTGCCAGCTGTCTCCTGCCACAGGCTCCGAATCCAGCACTTGGAGCACAGGGATGGACCAGTTATCCCAGCACTCCCCGTGATGCTCTGGGAGATGCCCAGCTTGCCAGCCACGATCTGCGCTTGCAGCTTGCCTCTCTGCCCAGTTCCTGCCTGGCCCCACAGAGAGGGTGCCCCAGCCCAGGGCAGCAGCGTGGGGCCAGTGGGTGGCTGCTGTGAGGGCTGGGTCTCCTGGCATGTGCCAGTGGCCCCACAGAGGGATGGAACTGTTCCCTGACATGGGAGTCTGACACCCACAGCCTCTGCAAGGAGCATCTGAGCCAGTGGCTGGAGCACAGGGCACTTGCCCCAGCCTTTGGGTCTGGGCCAGACCCGCGGCACTGATCCCTCTGACTCAAAAGCCTGTTTGTTCCGTGACCCACCAGCGAATCAGTTAGATGATTTTTTTTTTTTTTTCTTTTTGTGAGTGATTTCTTTGCAATTTCCGCCTCTGCAAACCAGCCTCTTGTGACGCTTATTTGGGTTCGTGCTCTCATTAGCTGTGCTTGAGGTTTGCTAAACGGCGAAAGATGGAAGGGAGGGATGGGGGCAGGGACGGGTCTTGCGCTGCCAGGCGGGAATCGCTCCCCTCCTTAGCAGGATTCACCCAGCTCCAAAGCGGAGCCCCCCTCCTCCCTAGACCCTCTGTGCCCCCCTCTTTCCCCACGCACACGGTTCTGGTTCGGTCACACGTACGTGGGGCAGCCGCGGATGGAGCAAAGCCTCGGGCTGCGGGAACCAGAGCCCGGGCACCTCGGGCGGCACCGGCCGCTCCAGCACGCGGGTTTATCCTCCGCGCATTTGTCCAATTGCTCTTCCAAGCTCGATTTCCCGTTACAACACCCCGCGGCCCCCACTCCCCACGGAACATTCAGCATCGTGCGAGGGGAAGGTGGAAACCCCCGCGCCGCTGCGGGCAAGGCGACACCGGCGGCACCGCACGGCTCCGAGCGGTGGGAAGGGCTGACAGAGCCCCGTCCGGGCTCTCGGGACGGCCTCTCCCCCCGTCCCGACACCGCCCAGGCACGGCAAAAGCCGCTAGCACCGGTGGCGGAACCGGGAGGGTCCAAGCTCCGAACTCACTCCCCGGTCACGGACCGGCCCCGCTCCCGGCCCGTCCCACCGGGGGCTCGCAGCCCCGAGCCGGCTCTGCCGCCCGCAGCCCGGGAACGGGGATCCCCCGGGACACGCCGGGTGCGGGATGCCGGGGCCGGGCAGCAGCATCGCCGCGATCCGGGACGCGGCTGCGGAGCCGGGCGGGACCCGGGCGGTCGCTCCCGCCTGACGGAGGGACGGCGGCGACCGGGACACCCGAGCCACACCGCCGGGCACCCGGCAGCCGCCGCTCCGCCCGGTAAAGCGGGTTTGCTCCGCCGAGAGCCCGGCATCCGCCCGGCGGGACGGGACAGCGGAGCCCGGGGGTGCCGCTCGGTAACGGCGCCGCGACCCCGGGCCGGGCCGCCCCCGCCCCGAACACCTGCCGGCGGGAGCGGCGTTACCGGCGGCCGGGGCGGAGCGGGCGGGCGGACTGCGGCGGGACCCCGCCGGGAGCGGGACCCCGCCGGGAGCGGGACCCCGCGGCTCTTACCGTGCGCGGCGGCGGGGCTGCAGAGCGCCAGCAGGCAGAGCGCCAGCCGCAGCGGCATGGCCGGGCCGGGCGGGACGGGCCGGGACGGGCCGGGGCGCTCCGGTGACCTGTTGCTGTGAGGCGGCGGCGAGGCCGACGGAGCTATAAAGCGGCGGGGCGGCGTGAATCACCGGGCGGGGCGGCGCGGGGGGGCCGGGGCGGGGGCAGCGCGCTGGAGTCGGGGGGCAGCGAGGGGGATGAGCGCGGCGGGGCGGCGGGAGGCGATGAGGGTCGGATCGTCACCGAGTGGGCGGGGGGGTTGTGTCCGTGCGTCCCCCGGAGAGGGCGGGGATCGGCACCCCGGCACTGAGATGGGTCGGGGGAGGTTTGGGGGTGCCCTCCGTGATCGGGGTGGAGCGGAGCGGTGTCTGGACACGCCCCGAAGCGTGGGGGACCCCAGAGCGCTCCCCTGGCCGACCCTGTGCTGTGCCTTCCCCACCCACCCTCGCATGAACCCGGACCTGCCTCCTCCCCAGGCAGCCCCGGCTGGCAGCAGGGGTACGGTGTGGGCTGTCTCATCTATGGCTCCTTTCATCTCTGCTCCCCAAACACTCCCACGGCTCGGCTGGTACCCAACATCCCTCCCAACACACCGAGGGAAACTGAGGCACCACCCTGAGCCTTGCCAGGCAAGGAGAGGAAGGAGAATTGTGGGGCCATACCCCTGTGGCATGTGCTGCCCCTGCCCTCCCCAGATGTCCCCATCACCACGAGAACTGCTTCATCTGGCTCCTGAACAGTTCCCCTGGGCTGGGGGACTGCAGCTGGGCTTTCAGGGGCTCCCAGCCTTTGTGGGGCTCCTACAGGACAGGGGAGGGCAGCAGAGAACCCAGGGCAAGGCAGCGCAGGTTTGCCCTTGCTCCTTGCTTGGTGCCACCACAAAGAGATCGCCCACACGTCTGCAGGGGGGTCAGGACGCACCAGGGACCGTCACCCCGCTCCTGAGGCAGAGCACTGGGGACACGGGGCTCTCTGCCGCAGCCCAGGCTTTGTCCAGCCCCAAGCTTTGTCCAGCTCCTGGCCACGCAGCTGAGGAACGTTTCACCCCGTGCACTGGCCCCAGCTGAGGTCATGTTTTCGGCAGGGCTGAGCCGGGCTCTGTCGGAGAGGGGCCCTGGCCGCAGAGCCCGCGGGACCTGCAGCACTGCTCCAGCCCAGCAGCAGCCTCCTGGCTCCGAGTGGTGCCAGCACAGCACCAGCACCTTGGTTTGGCATGGGATGGGGCCGGGCACAGCTTTGGTGGGACATGGAGCAGCCTGGGTTCCATGGCAGGGGGAGCGGGTGCAATGCCATGTGCCAGCAGGGACAGAGAGCAGAGTTACCAGCACTGCCACATCTCCATCCCTCCCTCCAGCCCTCCAGCCAGCAGGCAGGATCTCACCAAGGCAGATCTTCTTTTCTTTCTCCACCTACAGCCCTTTGCACCCCCAGAAAAGGGTCGGGAACGGGGAGGGCTGGGTTTACCCCAGGTGGCATCGGTGCCATCCGCAGGTACAGGAGCCCTGGGGCACCTCCTGACAGTGTGAGCTGGGGACAGGAGCCCTGACCGTGGGACAGAGGAGGGTCCTGGGGGAAGGACAGAACCAGCAGCCCCTGGCCACCAGGCTCCCAGTGTGCTGCTGGCCCTGGCCCTGTCCTGGCTTCTGTGACCCAGGCTGGCTCGGCAGCCTCGGAGCAGTTGCCCATGTAAGGGCAGAGGGCTGGGGAGCCAAACTTCCAGGCGGGATGTCCGTGAGCGAGTGGGTGGTGATGCACTCGCTCACTCACATGCTCCAGGATGCGAGAGGAGCTCGCAGAGGCCAGGAAGGGATTTTCCTTGGCTGCGAGTGGGGTTGCACAACCGCAGTCTCTGGCAGGGATGGGGTCAGACCTCGCTCGGAGCAGCAGGCGCTGCTGCATCTGTAAGGGAGCAGCCAGGCTCCTGATATAAAGGCAGGAGGAGCCTGATGGCCAGGAGGGAAGTGAGTCCCTGAGCCAAAGGGTGCTCAAAGTCCTGATGAGGCTGCTCTGCTGCCAGGAAACCCATGCTGGGGGCTCTGCTTGCCACCGTCCTGGCTGAAGCAACTTGTCTGTGATCATACCACAATGCTGGTTCTCAAGCAAAGCTGGCAGCAAAATTCCACTGGCCGGTCCCACGCACAGGGTGATGCTGTCTCCCTGAACCCCACGGACAGCCCAGGGCCGGAGTGAGCCCCAGCAGCACCCACAGAGTGAGTGGGGCGAGGAGCTGGGCTGGGAGCTGTGGGAAAGCAGCCCTGCAGCACCCAAAGGGAGGGAGAGCAGCTCCTGGGCCAGGGCTGGGGGCGGCGAGAGGCGCTGGAGCAGGGACAAAGGAGCCCTTTGGAGCACAGTGAATGGTGGCTTCACATCTGATCTTTCCCTCTGGGCACTGGTGCCACGCTGGGTCAAGGCTGCGGCAGGATTTCAGGACAAGGTTCAGACCCAAACATTCTCCCACCAAACCCCAGCTGCTGCGTGCTGCTGCTGGGCTCCTTTAAGGAGGGAATCTCACCTCTCTCATCAGTGCAGGCTAATTAAACTCTGCTAAACCAATTAGAGCTGCAATTTGCAACAAGACGTTCTATTGAGAAGAAGAGCCCAGGGTCAGGGCAGAGGTTTCATACCGCCGGCGTGGATCTGTGGGCAGGTGTTGGCCGGGGCCCTGGATGTTGCCATTTCCCTGTTGGAGGGAGGTGATCCTGGCCCCATTCCTCTCCTCAGCGCAGCAGGGTGCCTCAGTTTCTCTCGTGCAAGCAGAGATGCTGCCAAACACCGCAGTGGGCAGAGGGGCTGCTGGTGGGGGCTCAGGGACCCTCGGGGACAGGCTCAGCACAGCAGGGCCAGCAGCAGAGCTCAGTGTGCCCCCAGCGAAGGGGGACAGGACCAGATCTCGGTCCCAAACCTTGGAGCACGTGGCGAGTGGCCAGAGCGAGGTGCGAGCCCGGGGCCCGGCCCCGCGGCTGCTGCCGGCAGCGCTGACCCTGGGGCGGGATTTTCTCCCGGATCCTCACGGCTCCAGCCCGGGGAATTGACTCAGCGCTTGTTTGGGGAGAGAGTGTCAGGACGGCACCTTGATGGGCTCACTCCACCCCCAGCGCTGACACGGAGCTTCGCCCCACGCCCCGGGGCGGCAGCGTCACCGCTCCGTGCCTCAGTTTCCCCATCTGCTGAGGAGAGATAATGCTCCTCTGCTTGATCCTGCACTATCTCCCAGGAAGGTTGCAGGGATTAGTTTGCTAATGTTTGCAAGGAGCTTTGAAGATGAAAAGCCGGGAACAAATGCCAAGAAGTGCTGAGCTGGATTCTCCTCGCCAAGTAATCGTTTCATGTTGCTGGGACACTTCCACTTCTGTGGATGAAGGAAGGCAGGGCGGGAGCGCCAGCATTCAGGGAGGGCTGGGAGGCTGACATACATTCCCAAGACCTGCCCCTCCAAATCTGATCACCCATTCTGTTTGATTCCCGATCAAATTCTGATCCTGCTGATGCCCAGACCTCCTCCCTGCTGCTGGCACCAGCATCCCCAGCACCCTGCAGGCCCCAGGACCACAGGAAGCATCACCTGGGGGGCTTCACTCCCTGTCCCCTTCTCAGAAATGTCCTCCAGTGATGTTCCCCCCCTCACACAGCCCCCTGAATATCAGGCTAGCCCAGAGGTCCTAGGCTGTGAGGAGAGGAATATCAGGAGATGGCAAAGATTTTCAAAAGAGGCTCTTACCCCAGATATGTTGGTTCAGCTCTCTTTATTCTGTGATGTCCATGTGGAGAGTGGGGCAAAAAGAGAACAAACAGGAAATGTCAGGGGTCTATACAGACTTTGAACAGGGTGGGCTTCCCTGGCTCTCCACCAACCCTGTCAGGGCAGGAAGGAGGGGTCCAGGGTTATCTGATCAGAGCCACAGGGTCCCGGGGAAGGGGGCACAGAGTGCCCATGAGCTCACTGTAACACTCCAGTGCTTTGGGTGCCCCCAGCAAGAGCCCAACACCTCTTCTTTTTGAATCTTTGGTCTCAGTGCTGCCTGGTGGGAGATGCACTGAGCTCTGTCCATGCTGGGGAAATGCCAGCGCTCAGAGCCAGGAGGTGCAAGCAATGTGAAACGGGGAGTGGGAAGGCTGGGACATGGGAAAGCAGCAAGCAGAGCCAGCAAGGTCATCCCATCCCATCCCATCCCATCCCATCCCATCCCATCCCATCCCATCCCATCCCATCCCATCCCATCCCGTGTCCCTCTCAGCCAGGAGTGGCTCTCTCGTGCCTCCAGTTCCGCCTCTCCCATCCACGTGCGCCCATTTCCAGCCACCTTAGCGAGCTCCTTACGGGGTGATCCCGTTGCCTGCATGGCTGAGCCTGGTGGGATCGGCCTGGTGGTGACACAGGCTCTGTGTGAGTGTGTTTGTGTGTGTTTGTGTGTGTTTTTGTGTGTGTGTTTGTGTGTCTGTGTGTGTTTGGGAGTGTAAACAAGCCGTGAGTCAGTGCCGGCGGCTGTGCGGGCTCCCAGCCGTGGCCAAAGGCAGGAGCAATGTGAGTCTGGAGGGAGCTGGGATGTGGAACATCAGGCAACCATGTGGGGCTGAACTGGAGTTGGAAAAACCTCCCTGGTCATTAAAATCTCCTGGCTCCTTGGTGAGGATGGGGAGAAGCACTGCTGGAGGAAGCAGAGCTGCACCAGGAAGGGCAGCAGCTGCTCCACTGATCTTCGCTCCCGGAGCAAGGTGCTGGTTCTTGGGGTGGGACAGATGGGCTGGTGGCTGCCCTGCTCCCAAACCAGCCATGGGGAGGACCCCATTGGCACTACAATCCCAGCAGCCCAGCCTTGCCAGCCTGGTGGATCCCCAGCCCATGGGCCTCTAAAGAGCGAAGCCACCACAGGTCACATCCTCCCTGGAGCTCACATCTGCCACACAGCCCTTGTCAGCCAAAGAGCCTCATTGCTTGGCCCAGGCTGGCAGTTGTTAGAAAAGCATGTTTTTCACATTAAAATTTCCCCTGAAGAACAATGGTTTAAACCAAGCATAAAAAAAGGAAAGAATCCAAAAAGGAAAAAAAAAAAAGAGAAAGGAAA